ATAACCAATGGACACGGACAACGGGGGGGAGGGCAAGAGCATGGGGGGGTAGAGGGTAACGTGGGGACAAGGAAACATATGTAATATCTTAATCCATAAAAAATATATTAAAAAATAAAAAATAAAGAAAGAAAAAACTCTATTTTTCCTTGTTCCTATTCAATTCAATAAAGAAGGGAGAATTTAAAAACTAGAGTTTCACTGAAAGAAGATGTTTAAGATTTTCACTTATTTAACAAACACTTAGTATATACTGTTTCAGGGACTACTCTAAGCACTTTATAAATGATGTTATATGAAGAATGGATACAGAAGTCAGGAATGTTTACCTGAAGATAATGAGAACATGATAGCTCTTTTCAAATATCTAAATGATTATCAAGTGAACCAGGTAGCCCATTTAAATAAAAAAGATACAGAACAAGCAAGAGATTTGGGCTCTGAAAAACTATGAGAGCTCTCCAATGGCAAAATCTCTCTACAAGTCTACTAATAACCACTAAATGGGAAAATATATACTCAAGCACTTGGCTGTAGACTGCCACATACACATTAAAATTGACTTCTTTGCAATACAGTGGGTCCTGATCAACAGAAATATTTACAAAGAGGTTGGTAATGGGCTTTGGAGTTCACTTCTCATTTTTGCAACTATCCTAAGTATGCAACTTCAGAAAACTTTCCTTTAGAATAGGGATAAAACCATTACTCTGCTTTGCAGAGTAATTGTGAGAATTAAATCTGATAATGTGTGTAAACAGTACAGTGCTGAAACACGCAATAAATTGTTTCTATTATGATGACCACTATGATAATGTTGTGGAAGGAATCTCTACAGTGAACATAAAACTATGAGATATGATGTGGTATGATTGTATGGCTCTGCTATGCACTGGTATGAGTGTATGATTCTGCTATGCACTTATCATGTTACAACAATCCAAATACAATACACAGCTTGTTTCTGTTTGGGTGACTTAAAAAGCATTTATCTTTTGTAATGTGAAAGGAAAAACATTCTAAAAATATTCTAAAAATCTAAGTTAAGTATCCAGGTTACCAAAAATCAAGTGTATAAATAACAAAATATAATGCGGAAATGATGCAGCTATAGAGAAAAAAGGGATTAAACAAGTAGCACATTAAATACAAACTACTCTTCCTAGAGACTTTACTGCAGGACATGAGAATACATATTGAAGGGGGGGAAACAATTACACTTTCCACAGGTATGTGAGCCACTGGTTACATTCATCAGAAATATCAACAATATAATGGTAGCTAAACACAATGCAAACATGTGGTATATCCAGGCAATTTAAAAAGTGAATTTCAGTGGACTATGGACAAGAACTTAGGGTTATTTAGGATTCCTATTACTTTGAACAGAATTTGTATTTTAACAAACCAACTTCTAAATGTTGCATATTATAGAATACTAGAAGCCTGGTGCACAAAAATGTGTGCACTGGCGGGGGGTGGGGGGTGTTTCTCAGCCCAACCTGTGCCCTCTCACAGTCTGAGACCCCTCGGGAGATAACCACCTGCTGGCTTAGGCCTGCTCCCCTGGTGGCAGATGGCACACCCGATCCCACGGTGTCTGCTCTGTCTCCCTCAGTCGCACACGGCAGGCCCAGACCCCACGCTGGGGCGGGCAGCGGCTGGGGATTGCGCTGCCGCCCACGCAGGGTGGCCCAGTGGGATCTGCCTGCAGTATGCAAATTTAACGGCCATCTTTGTTGGGTTAATTTGCACACTCTTCTGACTGGCTGATGAGCGTAGCGAAGGTACTGTCAATTAGCATCTTTGTCTTTTATTAGTGTAGGTGGAAGCCCAATAATCTTGCAATTCAATACCATTTGTGATCAATCAAGAAAATCAGTTCTAACATACCATACTATCCTACTTAGCTATATTCATCTCGCTCTTTTTTGAAAAGGAATTAACTCTCAAAAGGCATCTTTTTTTTTTCTTTTTTTAAAATATATTTTATTGATTTTTTACAGAGAAGAAGGGAGAGGGACAGAGAGTCAGAAACATCGATGAGAGAGAAACATCGATCGGCTGCCCTCCGCACGCCCCGCAGTGGGGATGTGCCCGCAACCAAGGTACATGCCCTTGACCGGAATTGAACCTGGGACCCTTGAGTTCGCAGGCCGACGCTCTATCCACTGAGCCAAACCGGTTCGGCTCAAAAGGCATCTTTTATGTTTTCAGGGATCTTTCTTTCAAAGACAATGACCATAAAGTAAAACGTAGCTACTATTAAGACCAAATAAGAGAAACTTCTTAGTAACTGACTAATAGCCAGAAACTACAACATTTTTCCCACTAAATATTCTTTCCCAAAAAGTTAAAATACAATTACCATCAACGAACTATATTATACTTGTTGCAACAGTAGTAAAACAAATAAATTAAATGTAGGAATGAAAAACTGGGTGCAGTTTTCAGGAACTTTTGGGGGGATTTGATTTATGACAAATGACAAGTAGTGATATTATAATATCACTAAATTCAGAATACAAGAGCAATTGTTAGAAAATTATACAACCAACAGAAATCTTACTTCACCTCAATTTCTGCCCTAATTTTAGATAAGAAGCCTAGAGTCCAATGGAATTAAGGGAGCTTATTCCACAGGCAAGTATTTCATCAATGTGTTATATTATTTTGAGCACAGAGTTCATCAGTGTGTTCTAACTGAATGTATGCAATAGTCATGGTCAGTTAAAAGCAAAGCTATCAACATCATTTGCCAACTACCCAGTTTAAATGGCCTATGAAATGTTGAAAATATCAGTGTTTCCATTCGTTTTCATTAATTTACTGTTGACTAGAGGTCAACTCAATCACATTGTTTTTAGAACTAAAAATATTAAAGAAATCAGCTTATGAGTTAAAGTAAGGCAAAAAATGGAAATAAAATCCTTGAATAACAAATGATACTACATTTTGTCATATAGGTTGTAAAGTTACCATGAAACACCACAGTACTAATTTTAGTCACAGTCATCAAGATGAAATATTAATATTAGCAACTGACTATCCAGAACAAGCAAAAAACTCAAAACTCTACTCCAACAAAATTTTACCTACTCAGAGGTCGCTTTACTTGCTCTAGGTATCAAATGTCAACACATTTAAACTGTGTGGCTTTCAAAAATCAAAGCACTTTACATTCCATCTAAAATGCAAAATTCAGATACTTTGTATCAAATTTTCCTAAAAGCATTTTAAAAACACACACACACAAAACACCAACAGAGAAACCACCACCTGGCAGGTACCCATCACAACCAGCTGCAATCCGGTTGGGATCTGTACCGAGGTGATGAAGGTAGGTGGGCAATACCCGAGTCCAACATTCAGACCCCAAGGTGGGGGATAAGAGATAAGAAAAGAAATTTAATTCCACAAACAAAGGAAGAAAGCCAGGATGGATGAGAGGCAACCCTAAAACTGCTTATCATCAAGAATCCACACACACTTAAGGCCCGTCTCATAGACAAACAAATCGGCTGCTCGCAGGAAACTTTGCAGAGGGCGAGGAGGGGGCATGCCTTGGCACCCACCGGAACCAACCCCCTGGCCCCTGGCACGCTGTCACTGAGCCCGGCACGACTCCCGGGGACGGCGAGCAAAGGAAAGAAGGGTCTGCGGGAGGAGAGCCTGGGGCTGCAGAGACCGGGGGGCGGCGCGCCCGGGGCCCGGGAAGGGAGAGGCGGAGGGGCGCGCACTCCTCACCGTGATTATCTTTCTGCCCGATATTGTGCGTGCGGATGAGCGAGGACAGCCGCCTCACGTCCCCCTTGAAGACGCACTCGTGCACCGGGTAGTGTGCGGGGGAGACGCCTCCGTCGGCGGCCACCGCCACGGGGTGGGCGCCC